TTTTCTAATAGACAATAAATATAACAGTCAAATTCATGCAATTGCACGTGCCTACTTTTACTAGTTTCTTAAAAAAATGAAAATATTTTAAGACATTAAAATATTTAAAGGAAAATAATAAAATAAAAAGTTCATGATTTTTTTTCTAGATTTATTAGATTTTGATTAAGTAAAAGAGTACTAAGGTCATTTTACATCTTAAAAATCAACTTCAGAGTACCAAGAATATATTTTTAAAAATGTTGAGGTGTCATTTTAATATTATCAAGAACACAAGATACTAAAAGCATATTTCGCTATATACATTGTCGCTTACGTTCATTAACATGAAATACAACAAATCAGTCAATATACATATTTTTATGCTATGTGTTCACTTAATTGCTATAAAAAATACATATTTTGAGGATTAATATACATTATCGTTTTTTATAACTTAACATATACATCTTTATATGTAAATATACACACTTTATATATAAATATACAAGAAAATGACAGAATTGTACATCTGCCGTTTCAATCCGACAAACAGTAACCGCCGAATTAAAGACCTTGCCTATATATATATATATATATATATATATTCAAAGTGAAGAGCATCCTTTCATTGAATAGAAGCTAAACAACCGATAAATTTCGGGCTACAATTCAGCCACATCTTATTTGACAAACTAGAAAAGACAAGAGTTTACGGCATTAATTTTAAATTTAAAGTGATAAACCAAAATTGATGGATTACAGCATGAATTTTAAATTTAAAGTGATAAACTAAAATTGATGGGTTACGGCATGAATTTTAAATTTAAAGTGATAAACTAAAATTGATGGGTTACGGCATGAATTTTAAATTTAAAGTGATAAACCAAAATTGATGGGTTACGGCATGAATTTTAAATTTAAAGTGATAAACTAAAATTGATGGGTTACGGCATGAATTTTAAATTTAAAGTGATAGACCAAAATTGATAGATTACGACATGAATTTTAAATTTAGTGTTAAACCACGTCATAATACTTTTGAATTAATTTCAATTTTGACCCTTAAGAAATACATGTTGTTTTATTTTACTCTTTAAACTTTAAAGTGTGACACTAGTGGTCTTTAAGCTTTATAAACGTTTCACTACTAGTGGTCTTTAAGCTTTATAAACGTTTCACTTTTGGCTCTTCCATCATAAATCTATTAAAAAAATGGATGAAATTTACATGTGAGGTGCATTTGACACTTTTAATGAGGGCAATTTAGTAAATACTCAATTGTCTCATTTTACCTTCTAATCTATTTTGAAATTAATTGTGAGGTTAACCTATTGAAATTAATTGTGAGGTTAATCTGTTGAAAGAAAAGAATATGAAGGCTTTTAAAATTAGAATTATGAATGTGAAATTTTTTTCATAGGAAAGCATTCGGGATAATATTTAACATGAAAAAGAAAATACTAAAAAACATTTATTGTGTACCGTACGTGCAAGTTTCATTTATTTTATAAAGATTTGTGATGGAAGAACCAAAATGAAATTAAAATTGAAACAGCTATTCAATTTATTTTTCATTTATTTTTTTATAGGTTAAAATTGAAATTAATCCTTTTTTTTTTCAAAATCATATTCATAATGAAAATCTAATTGGTCGTTAGGACATAGGAGGAGCTGTGCAAATTAAATGATGATTACAAAAAACTCAAAACTTCTCTCCTCCTTTCTATACTTCTCTTTCTCTCTCTCTATATCTCTATCTCTCCTCCATAATAACTCTTCTCTAGGCCGAAAACGACATTAGTGTGGTGTCGTTTTGGTGCAAGCATCTTCGTTGACCTTGTTGCTCTTCAAAAACCGATCGAACGCGTTTGCATTTGCATTTGCAATTATTGCATTGGCATTGGGTTTGGGAGAAGGAAGGAAAGATCATCTTTTTTTTTTTTTGCTCCATTCTTCAAAATCGAAGAAGATCCGATCCCATCCATTCATTCACTCTGCAACATTCTGCATTTATATCCGATATCTTCTTCTACTGCACTTCACTCCGGTTTCAAGGTAATCTTTTTTTTTTTTTATAAGATTTTCACACCAGAATAGATTCAAACTCTTCTTCCCACATTGAAGATAAGAAAGCGTCATTGATCTCATTATCCTTTTTTCTTTTTACGATTTCTTTTCGTTTATCTACACATTATAATCTCAAATCAACTTTCTTTTCTTTTCTTTTTTGTTTTTAAATATTTATGGCAATATTTCTCCCCTAGAAGCTGTAATTTGTTAAAACCTTGGTTCTTTAATCGCAGAAACTATTAAAAAAAATCGTGGCGAAAATTTTTCTAGGGTTTTGAAATTGGATGTGTAGTTTAGTCGTGGAATTGCTATTAGGGCTTTTGAGAATTCACAGGTTTTGAAATAAGTTGTTTGTCACTTTCTTGTTCCGCAAAGTGTCTGTGGAACTTGTGCTTCATTCTGTTAAGGTTGTGAATATCAGAAAAAATGCCTGTTAAAATTGTTAAGCTTTTGCCATTAGAAACATGTAAATCGAGATTTGATATCAATTTATGATTTTTGAATTGTATTTGTATGCCTCCAGTCCACTAAATGCCAACAAACCGTTTGGTTAAATGTCTCATTGAGCATCCTCATCAAATATCTAAGTATTCAGTGTGTATGTATTAAAGAATCTGAAATGTTTGTGAACTTTGTTTGCATTTCCAAGTATTCTATCATGATTAAGGCCTAATGTTCGTGAAATTTTGATTTTATGGATGGCATCCATCGAATGCAAGTACGTGGACAGATTTGCGTTTCATAGAAAATCTTCTTCTCAGGAATAACTTGTATTTCAATCTCATTTTGATAACTTAAAGTTTCTTCCTCTGACTTGGGCATTGTGGATTATGTAAAACACTTCTAATTTTCTGCAATTATTGTATTTGTGTAAATACTTATAATACTTCGATACCTGTTGGCTGTTGGTTCTTGTCTTTTCTGTATAATCATGCTTTGATTACAACACGATTGTTGATTTACTTTTTCCTTCTACTTTTGCTCCAGGTTCCGTCAACATTTCCATGTCTCATGCTATCTGATAATTCTTTGAGTTACTAGCTTCTCTGTCCTGACCACTTTGGTAGCGGAAAGCAAGCTTTGGAAAAGTCAGTTTGTCTTTGTTGTTCACAAAATGTTTTAAGATGGAAGACATGAGCAAAGACAACTGACTGAAGTGAAAAATACATATATCGAGCTTGCTCACCCGAAGGCGATTGGTGATGTAGGTATAATAAATGACCGGCCAGTCGAAGTATGAGGATGATGAAATTTCCGAAGCGTTATTTAATCGTCATTTTGACCTTCATCTGCACATCAGTATGCTATATAGAACGTGTGGGCTTCTCCATTGCTTATACTTTCGCAGCTGATGGTGCCGGGGTAAATCAATCTAGCAAAGGCAAAATACTGTCTGCATTCTACTATGGATATGCTTGTTCGCAGGTGCCTGGAGGATGGGTGGCCCAGAGAATTGGAGGAAGAAAGGTTCTTCTCCTCTCATTTCTTTTGTGGTCAATGACTTGTGCACTAGTTCCCCCCAACCCTAATCTAGTTCTAACCTTGGTAGTCGCCCGCCTGCTCGTCGGCGTTGCACAAGGGTTTATCTTCCCATCGATTCACACGGTCCTGGCTCAGTGGGTCCCGCCCCATGAGAGATCCAGGTCTGTTTCTCTCACAACCTCTGGCATGTATCTAGGTGCTGCTGCGGGAATGCTTTTCCTTCCAAGCTTGGTGAAATATCAAGGTCCTCAGTCTGTTTTTCTTGCCGAGGCAGCCCTAGGTGCTATGTGGTCTTTGCTTTGGTTCACATATGCCACCGACCCACCTCGTTCTGAACATCCTAAAGCCACGGCTGCTGGTTTTGGGGAATCTTTATTGCCAATTAAAGGGGGTCAAAAGTTTAAAGTGGAGAATGGAGGAAATACTGTCAGGACTTCTACCAAAATCCCATGGAAGAGAATTTTAATAAGCTTGCCGGTTTGGGCAATTGTGGTTAATAATTTCACGTTCCACTACGCGTTATATGTTCTGATGAATTGGCTGCCCACGTACTTCGAATTAGGCCTCAAGCTTAGCCTTCAGGAGATGGGTTCTTCCAAGATGATGCCTTATCTCAACATGTTCATATTCTCGAATATTGGTGGTATGTTGGCTGACCACTTTGTCACCAAGAGAATCTTATCCTTGACTAATACCCGGAAGTTCTTGAACACTGTTGGGTTTATAGTCGCTTCTCTTGCATTGATGGCAATACCCGTCTTCAGAACTTCTAATGGAGCTGTACTTTGTTCTTCTGTGGCTCTTGGATTCTTGGCACTTGGGAGAGCTGGTTTTGCAGTGAATCACATGGATATTGCTCCAAGATATGCAGGGATAGTGATGGGAGTTTCAAATACTGCTGGAACGTTGGCTGGAATTATCGGAGTTGATTTAAGTGGCAAGCTATTGGAAGCCGCTAGAGCCATCGATTCGGATCTTTCGAGTGCGGAAAGTTGGAAAATGGTGTTTTTTATACCGGGGTTTCTCTGCATTTTCAGTTCTGTTGTATTCTTATTGTTTGCAACAGGGGAGAGGATTTTTGACTGAGATACACAAGTTTTGACGTACAAAAGCTTAGCTTGGCGTTTGAAAGGTCACTTACATAAATTATTGGAAAATTTTTTGAAGTAATCAGCATGAAATTAGTGGTCTGTGGCTATTAAAATTTATTCTTTAGATGTATTTTGCTAAATTATTTTTCATCCCCACACCTGGGTTATTGATTTTTTCTTGGTTGTGAAAGTGTTGAGTTGTTATTTATTGACCACAGAAAATAATGTCTCATCATGACATGGAGATGTTGTAACTCTATGTAACCTGAACTTGTTGCTTGTATCATCTGTGATTCCCAACACCTTAAATTCACTATACATGGTCACATGTAGTTTCTTAAAATAATTATTTATTATTGTAATTATTATCATTATATAAATTTTACAGCACAATTAAAAAGAATTAGTTCATAAGTTACAGCAAACCAAGCTGTGCATATCGTAGAATGACAACTCTAGAATTTTCAAATAAAAAAAAAAAAAATCTTCTGTAATAAAGGAAATTTTGTGATTTAGAGTGAAAAAAAAGGAAGAAAAATTTGTGGAAACAAAGTACAGGAGTTGTATCTATTATGTAGTAATTATCTGCGCCAAGTTTGTGTTTGTGTTTGTGTTTTCGTGGCTGATCGTCCTCATACTCAGGCTAATGCATAGTCGAAACCTGTAATCAAAGCACGAGTCATAATGTGTTTGGTGATTTTCTCCTTTTTTGTATTTCAATGCAATTATGCATTCCAGTCGGGCCTTTTTTCTGCAGTTGTGAACTATTGATTCTAGCTCTCCTTTTTTTCTATTATTATTATTATTATTATTATTATTATTATTATTATCATCATTATTATTAGTATTTGTACACTACAAATTTGACAATAATACTATACTCACACTCACAAAAATGATTTCTCTCCATATTTAATTTCCTCCCACATGTAGCTTACTTATCTGATCTCCTCCTTTTATTTTAGTATTTATGCAGCATCTTATTTGTGCAAACTAAGCTGCCTTCTATTTAAAATCCAAAGATTCTCAATTTATTGTTTCTTGAATGAAAATTTTCCAAATGCCTAACGTACATACCGTTGTTTTAAGACTATATTTCAAATAACGATGCTTATTTCAAGAATTAATATAATAAACGGTGTCTTTTAGATTTTGTACTCTTAATATATATATTTAGAAACGTAAGGTTGCGTATATTATTATCTTGTAGCTTTTGGAGTAGGTTGCGTATATTATTAACGATGCTTGACATGTACAAACACATTATAATATGGAACCAAAAAAAAAAAAAATCACTATCATGAAAATAACAACAACAAAATCAATCATAATAATGAATTATGAACTGTTATGGAAATTCCATAACTTTTATGATTTATGACTTCTTATTTAGACCTCATTATCTCCTTATAATTTCTCTGAGTATTATCTCTCCATAATTTTTATCTAAAAAGTTGCAACTCATGGAACTTGTGTCTTTTGTACTTACTTTATTTATGGTTACTAGCCTATAAAATTTAAAAGGGATTATATGAGCATGTATTGATCACTGCTCACAAGTGAAAGAAATAATATAAAGTTATTTTGTCTCACATATTTTCTTGTATTTCTCTGTTCTTTAATTCTTTGCAATACTTTAGCTTATACTAATTAATTTATAACATAAACTGATAATTATTACATATAACAACAACAACAACAATAATAATAACAATAATTAATTATAAACAAATAACCAATAATTATATTATTATTGTCATTAGTGATATTAACCAAAAAAGATTAAAAATAATCTTTGTCCAAAACTTTCTGCTAGGCAAAATCAAATTTTACCAAACACTTGTGTTTCTGTAAATTGCTTTAATAATCTAAAGCAGCATTCCAACAATATTATGCAAAATCCTAATGATAGGTATTTATAGGTGTACAAAAGAATAGAAGAAAAAACCCAGAAAAGCTCTAAAGGCCGATCTTTCGAAAATATGTTGCTTATAGTAAGTGCTGGTTTGGTTTTTATGAGTAATGAAATTTCAGCTTCTATTTCAAAAAAAGAAAAATGTACTTATTATTTGATGTTCAAAAAATAGATTAGTTAGAATCGTTAGATCATAGAGTCGTTAGAGTCCTGTCTTCAAAGGATAAGACCAAGAAAAAAAAAAAAAAGGACAGAAATAAAGTGAGTTTTATCTCAACAACTAGAAGAAGAGAAATGAAATTCCACGATCTGTGTCATAGGATTGGAGAAAAGATCTCCAGAAAATACATAAAAGCTTGGAATAATGGAATAAATTTTAATAATTCATTAATTTCTTCCTTACATAAACATGGTCGAAACACACATTAGAAAGAAGTGTTGGTAACATATTTAATGGTAAATTAATTTGGGTCTCGATGGTATTTGTTGATGCACTTGTTGAGTTATCTAAATTAATCCTACTTCCTATGATCTTTTTATTTTGCGTCTGAACAGCTCTCTGCAATGTTCAAGAGCCTTCTCAAGACAATTATGGACAAATGAAACTAGCTCTCATTTAAGCGAATTTTAAACTAGCCTTCTCCTAAGGTATTGTTCTAGAATTCACAGCAAAATTTTTTAAGGTTGAATTACATTATCTGATATACAAAGACCCAAAAAAAGGAAGAGCATCTACGATGTTGAATATCATTATTTTATTTATTATGTCCAAATAAAATATATATATACACATATTTTTCTTTGCTCAAGAAATAAAATATAATTCAATGCCTTAACGGCAAAGAGGTTGTTCAATTTGGATTTAATAAAAAATTATATCTTTCTAACCAGCAAAAATACACACACACACACACACACACACAAATATTCACCTTATGACATGACTAGAAAAGCAAATAAGAGCCTCTTAGAAAATGATGATCAGTGATAATAATGAATAAATAATAAACCACTAGCTTTTTAAGAAACATGCATGGAAAACTTATTAATACAAACTAGAAAAGAAAAACACTGAGCTAACACATATTTCTCATATGCTAATACTATGGTGCCTTGAATGACCAAAAGCCAGAAGACTAAAGAAGAAGGCATATATACACAGAAACTAATCTTTATTGCTCCTCTCGTGGCTGCCCAAATTTACGAGGAAAACCTGTGGGACATGACATCAGAGGGTAGAGGAAGTTCTGCTGGACTTGTGAATCTTGTCATCCTGCGAAGACGAAGACGATGCCGAGAATGCTGAGTGGTATGAAGATGAAGCAAGTTGTGCCAACCCTGGAATTGCACCCCCTGCGGATTGAGATTTCCCAATTTATTTATTCAAAATAAAACAAAAATAAAATAAAGAATAGAAAGATCAAAACATTCAAGTAAGAAAGTTATTCGTCACCTGCCAATCCCGCACATGCAGAAGAAAATACAATCACAGGAGGTGCCTGTATTTGTTTTGTATAAAACAACTTTGAAGGTCAATTCCAGTGTCCTCAGCAATAAAAATGCACAAAACCAAACCCGACAACGAAAACAAAAGCAAATTGAGTTTTTGAGGCTAAGACACCAGAACTACCCTCAAACCAGAATCTTCCCAAGTTCGAAGGAAACTATTCAAACCAAACTGAAGCAGAGTAGTGAGTGATTAACATCAATTGAAAAGAGAAAGATCCAAATTAAAAGAGGGTGCTTTTAGGGCACATTGCTAAGATTTAGCAAGTTGGGGTGTGGATAAAGTGCCGAGATTTATTAGAAGTTCAAGAGGTAAGTTGACAAAACCCGAAAAGTTTGTATGATTGTTTCAGAAGGCCTCCTCGTGCAATAAAATAAATCATGGAGGATATTCAATTGTCTTTGTCACCAACACCTAGTGGTTGTCCCGAGCATCCATTTCCAAGTTCCAACCCAAATGCAAAAGAAGACAAAAAGGAACTAGACTTGAGCTTCCGTTTGCTTCCTCCTTATCTATAAACTTACTTGTTTGCATGAGAACTAAGTAGGAGGGGGGAAAAAAAATGCAAATAGAAAATTGCAACATTTCACAATTTCTTTCCTCTATGCTATGAGCTATCCTCCAACAACACAACCCTTTCATTGATTCAATCTAGATAGAGAAAGACTAACAATACAAAAACAAATAATAAATAAAAACATTAATTAAAAAGAAAAGAAGAAAAAAAGAAAGCTTACACCGATGAGAAAATGCACCCACATCGGACCCTTTACCCATCTTCGAACAATTGGCATCACTGCGTGCACCAACAAATACAAATACAAATACAAACACAAACACAAATAAATCTCTCTCTGCATTCGCATATAATTGTAAATTGTAAATTGTATTCACAGAAACACATTTAGATGTCAAGTGAAGTAGGTTACCATGGTTGAATCCGTAAAAGGCACTTGTGGTTCCACCAACAGCAGACCCAATCTACAAAGTAACAAACCGAACCCACCCACCCACCCCAGAAATCAAAACCACAAAGAAACAAAGAAAGAAAAAGCAAAAACGAAAAAAGATGAAAAATTTGATGAAAACCCAGTTCCAGTTGTTGATATATATATATTAATAATTCAGTTGTTGAAATATTAGTAGAGAGAGAGAGAGAAAGAGACAAGGAATTACCATAGAAAAGGAATCCCTAATGAAGGGTCGGACAGTCCATTGGGTGGTTTCGATGTCCTTCGTAAGAGGACCTGCGCAGTGACGACATCTTAATCCTTCCCCTGCAGCTGCTGCACACTCCCCCATTGCAATTCTATACAGAGAGAGAAGACAGACTTAGCTAGCCTAGGGTTTGGTTTAATGCGTGCTTCTTATTCAACGGTTGAGATCTAATCAGCCATTTGGATCATGTTATTCTCAACTTTTACTTAATTAACAAATTGTCCCATGAACTTCTGATTTTTAACCAAACTTCTGATCTAATCAGCCATTTGGATCATGTGATTTTTAGCCTAGGGTTTAGAATACTTGGAAATGCAAACAAAGTTCACAAACATTTCAGATTCTTTAATACATACACACTGAATACTTAGATATTTGATGAGGATGCTCAATGAGACATTTAACCAAACGGTTTGTTGGCATTTAGTGGACTGGAGGCATACAAATACAATTCAAAAATCATAAATTGATATCAAATCTCGATTTACATGTTTCTAATGGCAAAAGCTTAACAATTTTAACAGGCATTTTTTCTGATATTCACAACCTTAACAGAATGAAGCACAAGTTCCACAGACACTTTGCGGAACAAGAAAGTGACAAACAACTTATTTCAAAACCTGTGAATTCTCAAAAGCCCTAATAGCAATTCCACGACTAAACTACACATCCAATTTCAAAACCCTAGAAAAATTTTCGCCACGATTTTTTTTTAATAGTTTCTGCGATTAAAGAACCAAGGTTTTAACAAATTACAGCTTCTAGGGGAGAAATATTGCCATAAATATTTAAAAACAAAAAAGAAAAGAAAAGAAAGTTGATTTGAGATTATAATGTGTAGATAAACGAAAAGAAATCGTAAAAAGAAAAAAGGATAATGAGATCAATGACGCTTTCTTATCTTCAATGTGGGAAGAAGAGTTTGAATCTATTCTGGTGTGAAAATCTTATAAAAAAAAAAAAGATTACCTTGAAACCGGAGTGAAGTGCAGTAGAAGAAGATATCGGATATAAATGCAGAATGTTGCAGAGTGAATGAATGGATGGGATCGGATCTTCTTCGATTTTGAAGAATGGAGCAAAAAAAAAAAAAGATGATCTTTCCTTCCTTCTCCCAAACCCAATGCCAATGCAATAATTGCAAATGCAAATGCAAACGCGTTCGATCGGTTTTTGAAGAGCAACAAGGTCAACGAAGATGCTTGCACCAAAACGACACCACACTAATGTCGTTTTCGGCCTAGAGAAGAGTTATTATGGAGGAGAGATAGAGATATAGAGAGAGAGAAAGAGAAGTATAGAAAGGAGGAGAGGAGTTTTGAGTTTTTTGTAATCATCATTTAATTTGCACAGCTCCTCCTCTGTTAGGGTGCGTTTAGTTACTAGGGAAATAGTAATAAGTATAGAAATGAGAATGATAATAGAATATAATGAAAAAAAAGATAATTTATTTGTTTGATTTTATTTTTATAAATATAATAGAATGAGATATGAATATTTTAATGTTGACAAAATTACCTTCATATTAATATAACTAATATCATATATCTTAATATAATCATTTAATAACTAATATTATATATATAAAATTATAAGGATATAATATATATAATTATAATTATAGTTATATTATAATGTTACAACTATACTATATTATATTATTAGAAATATAGTATAATTATAAAATGTAATAATATAATATAACATATTATAATTATAATATGTAATATAGTATATTATCATTTCTAATTATAGTATATTATCTATTATAATATAAATTTATATTGTAATTATATAAATACTTAATTATAATATTATAAAATATAATATCTAATTATAATTATAATTATAATATTATAAAATATAATATCTAATTCAAGGGGAGACAACTAAATCTAGATTCTAATTACTAAATCAAGTCCATAGAACCTAAGATTCCCAATTTCCATCACGATTTTACACAAAATCATTCAAAATCCATTTCAAACCAAAAATAAGTTTTCTAATCCGAAAAACTTGAGATTTAAGAGAGGTTTTCAGAAATCTTACCTCAAATCCTTCTCTTGACGTTGAAAACTTCTTTAAATTCCTTTTTGGTTCGAGATTTGGTTGGTTTTGTGTCAAAAATGAGAGAGGAGAGAGAGGGAGAGTGAGGGTGCTGCACGGGAAAAGAAAGAAAAAGAAGAAAAGAAGAAAAGAAAAGAAAAGAAAAATAGGTGTCCAAGTATTTAAAATGACAGTCCAGAAAATGTGTCTACACACACTCTGGGGTGAAAATGTAATTACTGAAAATATTTAAATACCTTGGAATTATTTTAATTTACACGTCAGAAACATTTAATAAATAATAATTAATTATTTAAACCAGATTAGGCACACTAATAAATCTTAATTTTCTTAATTAATCTCGTTTAATTCTCTGAGGTGTTACAATAATATATCTATAATTTAATTGCTTTGACTTCATTTTGTCTTTAGAAGAAAGAGAGAAATAGACAAAAGAGTACACAAAATATTAGTACCATTTATGGTTGAGACTTGAGAAAAAGGTTGTAAATTATTAGTTCAAATCAATTATAATCGGTTTCATTTGGATTGGATTAGATCCCTTAATTAGTTTAGTTTGGATTGGATTAGATCCCTTAATTAGTTTGGTTTGGATTAGATTAGATCCATTAATCTGTTTAGTTTGGTTTAAAAATCTATAAACCAATTTGTAATTGGTTTGGTTTGGTTTGTATTTCACCTAAAATAATTGGTTTGGTTTGGTTTGTATTTCACCTAAAATAAACGGTTCGGTTGGTTTACACACCCCTAACACGATGTGATCCCATCAACACCAAAAATTTCAATAACTATCTTCAAACTTAAGGATGACAATTGGGTGGGGTGGAGACAGAGGATGATTTTCCATACCCATCCCCGCATCCTTAAACTGTCCCTTTTCCCGTCCTCATCCCCTTTTAAGGAGGGGCAGGGTCGGAGTCGGGGATTTCCCATTAGAGAAGACTTCCCCTTACCGGTTTCATTCCCCATCATATAGGATTATGTGCTTAAAAATTATAGCAACTTAAAATAAAATAGAATAGAAATTCATTATAAATTTACACCAAAATCAAAAGTTTTACAAAAAAAAAAAAAAAAACTAAATTCGTAACATATTGTAAACTAAATCTAAAAGTAATGACTAATGTATAAGCAAAAAAAGTTTAAAAACATAAACGCAAATTATCCTTCATTGTCTATTCTTAATAGCTTCAATCTTCATTGCATGGTTGCACGCTATTTCTTCTCAAGAATCATAATTTAAAACACTAAAATTTTAAGAGCTTATGTGTGTATATATAAATTACATAAAAAAACAACACATTATTGGTGGCTGTTTTAGTATCAGGCCAATACAAGGGTCTATGCCCAATGATTCCGTCTTGTGATGGGATTGGGCCCAATTCATGGACTCAAGCCAAGCTCGGGGAACTCGTGTTGGCCGTGGTTTGGTGGGCCATGGGTAATCGAACGGGCCAGTTTGTTTCTTTGTTCGGCTTGATTTTAAGTCCTACTTGGGGGGTTTTAAAATAATTAGGCTAATGAATGAATGGGTGATGGAGAATTCAACCTCAAAATCCTTTGTTTGCCTTTCAGGAGTCTTAGAAACCCTTTTCTCAGCCTTTGGAGACTCAAAAGCCCATAATTTAAGCTATGGAGTCTTCCTCTCTGGTGCTAGACGGGAAGTTTTTTTGCTCCAGAGCAGCTTCCTCCGGAGTTGGCAATGATTCATCTTTGTAGCAGTCATTGCTCCGGATGCCGCCACAGAGGCATCACCGCAGATACCACCATGAAGATACTTTCCATGCTCCAAGAAACTCCTCTGTGACCAAAGATACCTCCTGTGCTCCGAGAGATTTTCATATGTCTGTAGGTTCTTCCCGTACTCCATGGAGATTGAATGTGTCAGGTGCTCTAGTGACGGTTGTTTAGCCAAAATTAGAAGGTAGCGTTCTGGAGCTGGTCTGGCATGTGTTCAGACCTCTGGAAATAGAAACGCCTCCGGAGCACCAAATTCAGTCAAACACTCCATGATCTCTAAGCTTGGGGAATGTCCAATATCAGCAAGAATTTCAGATTTGGTCTCCAAATACACATTTTTTTGCCACATTTTTTGTCAAAGAGGAAAGTCACTTGATGCAAGTGCTCTGGAGGGAAATGGTTCGTACAAGCCTCTGGCAAGGCGTGATCGTACAGCCCTAGAGCAACTATCAAAATGTTCCAAACTTCTCCTATAAATACCTCTTAACTTCTTCAGTAAAAGACATACTTGGGAGACCTCTTTTGGGACTTTTGGAAAGCTTTTCTCACACTTGAGTTCATCCCTCTGAGAGTTTTTCTTCAAACCTGTGCTCATTGGGTTTGAAGTTCTTCATAGAAATTTCACTCAAAAAGTCTCAAAACACTTCGTTTGATCTATTCGAACTTGTCTACAAGCTACATCCAAAGTTTCTAAGGTTTCTCCGGAGGTCTGAAAATCCACTTCCGTGGTAGGACTCCGCCGTCCCGGAGCACACTTTTGAAAAACCATAAACTTCACCTACTAATACACATTCTCGAAGGTGACTTGTATTTGGTCTTCGAATTCTCCTATGAAACAGCCTTATCCATACTTTCTGAGTCAGACTGCGGCTTTAGAGGCAACCCATGCCTATCCTCGGAGTGTTCCTCCAAATAGCCTTATTCATACTCTCCGAGTCAAATCTCCATCAACCATTCGGTTACTCCTCCCATCATACAATTCATCCATGCGATCTCTATGGCTGAGTTCAACATCTTTCCATGCGCATAGTTGAGAGTTCCTCAGCAACTTGACAGTAAAGTGGGCCTTAGAATTTGATTTCTTCAGCTTACTTTGGGTATAACCGATCCCCTCTTGTTCATTGGAGGTCCTACCATACAAGCTCCTCTATGAACGCCGCGTGTTTCATCTGCGTCAGCATCGACACCACTGACTCTAGTACTTGCACATGTATACCTTGTAGACACGTACCCACCGAATCTATTGGGTGCTAACACACATTATTATTGAGATGGAGGCAGGGTGAGGAGTACTTCTCTTGTCCTTACCCGCCACAAATTAGGGACTAGATTTTGTCCTCATCCCGATAATTATTTTCCATCCCCGTCCTGTTCAATGCGGGTCCCCACCCTCTAGAGAATATTACCATTCGTATTAAAACTACATTATGTGATGTCTTCAGGGCATTTAAATAGTCGTCAACAATTTGTAGCACTATTTACAGTACTTATATATTAATTTAGGGAGCAACTTGTTAAAAATTAACCTTATCTTTATAATGCAAGTTTTTTTACATAATTAAAATTAATATACTAATAAATATTTAAGTATCTCAAAAACTTTGAAAATTTGACTGAAAATTACTTTGATATTCAGTGCTTCCAAGTATTACGAGCCCTTTCTGCACAAAGAAGAAGAAGAAGAAGAAGAAGGAGGAGAAGGAGAAGGAGAAGGAGGAGGAGGAGCAGGAGGAGGAAGAGGAGGAGGAGGAGAAGGAGAAGGAGGAGAAGGAGGAGAAGAAGGAGAAGAAGGAGAAGGAGAAGAAGAAGGAGGAGAAGAAGAAGCAGAAGGAGAAGGAGGAGAAGAAGAAGAAGAAGGAGAAGAGGGAGAAGAGGAAGAAGAGGGAGAAGAGGAAGAAGAGGAAGAAGAAGAAGAAGAAGAGGGAGAAGAGGAAGAAGAGGAAGAAAGGGGAGAAGAGGGAGAAGAGGGAGAAGAGGAGGAGGAAGAAGAAGAAGAAGAAGAGGAAGAAGAAGAAGAAGAAGAAGAGGGAGAAGAAGATGGAGAAGAAGAAGAAGAAGAAGAAGAAGAAGAAGAAGAAGAAGAAGAGGGGGAAGAGGGAGGAGAAGAAGAAAAAGAAGAAGAAGAGGGAGCAGAGGAAGAAGAAGAAGAAGAAGAAGACGAAGAAGAGGGAGAAGAAGAAGAAGAGGGAGAAGAAGAAGAGGGAGAAGAGGAAGAAGAGGAAGAGGGAGAAGAGGGAGAAGAGGAAGAAGAAGAAGAAGAAGAAGAAGAAGAAGAAGAAGAAGAAGAAGAAGAAGAAGAGGGATCAAAATAATACGTAATTATAAGCATTATAGAGTGTACAAACATTACAATTCAAAATAATACGTAATTATAAGCATTATAGAGTGTACAAACATTACAATTCAAAATAATACGTAATTATAAGCATTATAGAGTGTACAAACATTACAATT